GGAGTTGGTGCGCGTGTATGTTTGTTGGGAGCGCGTTTGTTGGGAGCGTTTGCAGTGCGGCCGGTTTCTTTGTTTCGGCTCGTTGTGGGAAGGACATTAGATTTCAGATTGTTGTTTGGGGGACTGATTTGATTACTTTGTGATGCTTTGATTTGTTTGGTATTATATTTCGGGAGAGTGGTTGCTTCTAGTTGTTCTTAGCCGTGGTCAGCTGTTCGTTTTTGTTTTTTCCTTTCTCTCTTGTGTGGGTTTGTTGGTGCGTTGCATGTGGAGCAGTGCGGAACGGTGCGGAGTTTTCCCTGAGGTTAAGCGGCGGTTCCCTTGGGATCGTTGAGCGGGGTGTGTAGTGTTGCGGAGAAAGTGGTTGAAGCCTTGGCTTGGGAGCATGGCCGTGGTCTCAGTAGTGTTGCTAGCTTGCTAGTCGCTTTGCTGGATTAGCGGTCTCCAGTGCATAAATACCCACCACAAGTAACTGCATGAAGACTAGGGAGGAGATTAGTCAGTGGGATGGTGAGTTAGTGGGGAAACTCCAATCAAAAAATTAGTGTTCCACTTTGGACGCATAATAAACGTGGTGGTATCTGTCCGGTTGGTTTTTGTTTTTGTTCTCTTCTTTCGGTTTAAAGGTCCGGTGTTGTGTTCCGGTGAGGGGTCGGTGTAAATTAAGATGGCTGACGTAGAGGCATTTATTGAAGCTCCGTCTCAGGAGTCTCTTGCCACTTTCTCAAGAGAGCAGCTGCTCTTAATTGCTGAGCATTTCTCTGTGTCTATTGTCGGTGATAGAAGGGTGAAAGACAACATAAAAGACTCTATAGTGTCGACATTAAGTGAGACAGGAGTGTTTGCTGCAAAGGACGAGAGGGTTTTGTTAAAACCTATTTTCAGGCTAGTTCATTGTCCTTTGAGCAGCAGAAGGAGATGTTATTGTTGCAGCTGAGTCATGACAAATGAGGGTATGAGATGGAGTGTGAAAAGGAAATTGCAGTGGAGCGGATGCGGCAGGAGACTGAGAGAGCCAAACTGGATATGGAAGGACAACGTCTTTCTATGGTCAGAGATGGTGCGGTGTTGGGTGAGTGGCACAGTGAACAGGTGCCCAGGTCTCCTCATCGGTTCGATGCTAACAATTTGCGCTTGTTACCGCAAGTTAATGAAAGTGATCCTGACACTTTTTTTTTGCTTTTTGAACGGGTAGCTAAGGCTAGGGATTGGCTGGATGCAGACTGTGCCCTGATGCTTCAGTGTGTGCTCACAGGAAGAGCACAGTCTGCATATTCCGCGTTATGTCTGGAGGATAGCTCTAGCTATGTTAATATAAAATTGGCGGTGGTTAGAGCATATGAACTCGTTCCTGAGGCTTATCGACAGCGTTTTAGGTTCTTGGAGAAAAAACAGGGTCAAACATATGTGGAAATGGCGAGGGATTTGTCGGTTCATTTTAAACGTTGGTTAGCTGCTCTGGACATCACTTCTTTTGACAATTTGGGTGAACTCATGATTTTGGAACAGTTCAAAAACATTCTTCCTGACAACATTGCTACTTATATAATAGAACACAGGGTTACTTCGGTGTCCGAAGCTGCGGTGGCAGCGGATGAGTTTGTGTTACTTCATAAGGGCAGGTTCGGAGGGCGCGCGGGAGCTCTACCCGTTTTTGATGGAAGTAGAAGGGCTGTTGATGTTGGTTCATTGGGGATGGATCCAAAGAAAGTGGCTTGGGAAAAATCTGAGGATACTTGTAACTATTGTCGTGAGAAAGGCCATTGGAAACCAGAATGTCCGGTGCTTAGAGCAAAATCCAAGGGAGGAAGATTTGTGGGTAAACCAGTTGCATTAGCTGTTCCTGTGAAAAGCTGCTGTGTAACGAGGTGCTTACGGACCACTTATGGGAATCAGAGGTTTTGGCGTCCTATGATCCTTTTATAAGAGAGGGCTTGGTGTCATTGGTAGGTAGCAATGTCAGAGTTCCAATTAAAATTGAGGGATACCGGTGCATTTGACTCCTTTATCGTTGACTCTGTTCTGCCTTTGTCTGAGAAAAGTGACACTGGTGACACGGTTTCGGAGTCGGGGGATGGGATTAATGGTTTTCCCTGTTCCTGTTCATAAGATGTATCTTGACTGTGACCTTGTTAAAGGGGAGGTAGCTATTGGTGTACGTCCCCTTTTCCAATCAAGGGGATACATTTCATTCTGGGTAACGGTTTGGCAGGTGGTAGAGTCTGGGGCTGATGTTCCCTCTTGTGTTAGTCCACTGGTGGTCTGATTGAGTCAGGATCTGAGAAGTGCTCTACAGTGATGCCAGACGTCACGGCCTCGTGTGTGATCACACGTGCTAGGGCCAAAAGGGATCATGACTTGCTACCAGATGGAAATTCAACTGACACAGTGGAGGTTCCATCTTTGTCTGAGTTTCGGTAGTACTTACACACCATGAGGTGGGAGAGGAGCAACGTCAGGATTCTTTCGTTGAAAGAACCTTTTTGACTGTGTTGCGCCAGTTGCACAGGGGGAAAACACTTCAAGTGGATACATGTTGCATAATGAGTTGTTGTTTAGAAGATGGGTTCCTGTGCCTGTTGATGGCGGTCGTGGTGGCGGCAGCGTTGATGGTGGTCATGGCGGCGCAACAGGGGTCGAGGAAGAGGCCAAGGAAATGTTCCTGCTATCGGTGTGGAGACCAAGGACACATGGCCTCGTGACTATGGGCATGCCAACGACCGGAAGTGCTATTCCTGCGGTGGGCTTGGTCACATCCAGAGACGTTGCAGTAGGGTGAAATGTTACAGGTGTGGCGACATTGGCCATGTGGCGGTGCATTGCAGTAAAGCCAGTGAAAACTGCTACAACTGAGGAAGCATGGGCCGTGACGGTAATTGTAATGTCTGTCATACTGGTTAATAAATCGTTCTCGCTCTGCCCATCCTTTAAAGTGTGCTTCTCAGGTTGCGTTACCTGTGTTGCTAAAGATGTGGCTGGGTGTGGAGGAGCGGCTGGCAGATGTGAGGGTTTATGTTGCAATTGTTGGGTTTTGTTGGAAGTGGGGTGCCGTATGTCTGGTATTTATTTATTTTTTGTCAGGGTTGGTGTGCCGGTGGTCCTGGGGACACCGACTTTAAGGGGGGGGGGGGGTGTGACGAACCCCTGCCTTGTTATCTCTGGTGTGTGTATGTTCCGTTAAGGTTTTCCCTTTGGTCTATCAGCTGGGATTGAGGACACCTGGCTGCTGGAGCTAGCCGGATAAAGGACCGGGCCGGATCTCGCTCCTCGCTCCTCGCTCTGGCAGGAGGACGCAGCGCGAAGAGCAGCCCACGACCAGCTGACCTCTTGTTTAGTAGTTTGTTTCGCCTGTTTGTGTCCTTCGGCAGCAGTGAATAAACTCTCGTTTCCTATTCACGTCCTCGTTTTCTGTCGCGCGTTTGTTGTGGCTGAGAGCCAAGCCATGACAGTTGCTATAACTCCTATGAAAGTGCTCAAACTTCACATGTGTGCTAACAGTCAAGCCGTGAAGACATCTACGGGACAGTTTTGAGATTTCTTCAATGCCGTTGCCATGGCAACACAATGCTCACATGAAACACGGTTTTCTCATAACTTCAGTGAAAATGCTCCAAACGGCCCAAAACTTCACAGTTTGGTAACGATTCAGCCATCAACGCATCTAAGCGTATTATGGGATGTCATCAAATGCCATTGGCATGGCGACAGATCATTCGCCATCAAGTTAGTTTCAAACGTTTGCCGTTCAAATATTCTGCTGCTTTTCCAAGCCTTTTTACTTTATTTTCTTCTCTCATCACACATTCAAGCCCCCAGTGTTCATGTACCATTTCAATCTAAATTCTTCACTTTCTTCTTAGACATTACATTTCAGCATAGCAGTTTAGCGTCAGCTTTTCAGTATAAAGCATTCTCACTAGCAATTTCTTCAGGAATTGCATTCTCTAGTTTAAAATGCTCCTGTGGGTCGTAAAGGTATACAGGCTGACGCTCCCTTTGATTGAAAACGCTCCTGTGGGTCGTATTATGGGTCGGAACAATCGACCTATTTGGTCGTATGAGTTGGAGGACTTGTTGCAACATTCAACATTGTTGTTGAATTGAGGCTGATAACTACAGCTCAGTGAGGTAAAGGTTTAGATAGTTCACTTTAGTTTAAGTTATCTCAGTGGGTCTCAAACGGTTACAATTTATGAAACATATTTCCAAGGCACACCTTTATAATTATTAGGATAAATATTAGGATTTCAATTTCCCTTGAAAAAGAGATCAATGATCTCAAGGGATACACCTGGATAAATAAAGGTTTGAAATGAAAGATGACATGTAAGGGGAATTATTCCCTGGCAGTAACACTGAGGGCCATCAGCCAATGGCAACAGTAAACAAGCGATATAAAGAAAACTGTCAAAGTGCTGCTAATATATATATTTTTAAATGTGGGATACAAAATATTTCTCCAGTAAAAAAAAAGACAAAAATGTGCCCACAGAATGTCCAAAAGTAGAAAAGTTTTATTTTTTAAAATGGTATAAAAATGCTTTAAAAACAAAAAACAATGAAAATAAGAAAATAATGTATTCAACAGCTTACTTACTTACCTTCCCACTTAAAATACTGTAAATGGTAGTATAATAATGCAGTTACTTATTAAACATTACAGTTTTCACATAAGTTGACCAAAAACAATAACTGATAAGGGTAAAGGGTTTGCTGCAACACGGAGAGAAGGAAGAAGGAACTGCATTTTACGGACATTATCTTCACTTAATCAGCTCGGGGGCGAGGCATCGAGGCCGCACGCTGAGTATAAGAAGGAAACAGCATCACACACTCCACATTTTCAAGAGCAACTCAAATCTTCACAGGAGTCTTCACAGACACAGGCAAGAACATTTGTGTTTTATTGGGATGTTTTGATATTTTGGTGTAACATTATGCTAAAACATAGCAACTTTAGATTTAGTTTTGTATTGACTTTTTCTTATTTTTTATTAGAGATGCTTCTCTCTGCCCTTCTTGTGCTGGGCGTCTGCCTGATTCCTGCTCACTCCAAACCAGCAGGTAAGCTACACTGTTTAAATTCTCTATTTGTGTAACATTACTGGTTAATTCCAAATGATTGCGATATTTGACAAATGTGTTCTTTGCAGGGGAACAACTCTGCAGTCCTCTTCTTCAAACCTGTTTTGAGGAGGCAAAGAAAATTGTTGACGATGCTTACAAGTACTCAAGAGAAGAGTGAGTTCATTTTAAAATAGTAATTTATATTTTAATATAATTCTGCGATCATGTACACTAAAGAGTTTTTAATTTGCATGCAAGCCATTTATTGCATTATTTCAGAAAAATGTATGGAAAAAGTTACGATTCTCCCAAAAAATAACACAATTTTGTTTGATTTTGTGACTTTTTCTCCTCCTAGGAGTCTGAGACGGGTCCGTAAAGAGGTGGTGCATCCTCACGATGCTCTCCGCCTGCTGAAGCAGCCTCGCGGTGGAACCCGCTCAGCTGTGAGATCTGCAGACTACATGGCACAAACCCTCTGCCTGCTACAGGAGAGGGTGCATCATGTGCACAAACGCTCATTCAACGTGACAGGTCAGACATGTGGCATGAAACAAAAATAACTCCTGTGTCAGGGAATCATTTGCTTAGGTATTCAACCTTCGACCCAGTTCATCGTTTTCTCTCTTTACTGTCTCCTTTCCATGGCATAGTTCTACGGCCTTGGGTATTGCTGCTATCTCTTAAGGAGGGGCAGCTTGGGCGCATTGTTGTTGCCAGTCTATGACAGAGCACAAGCCGCCATAAGGTAGATTACTGTTCAGGGACGTAGGTTGCCTGGCGCACATTCTTTTCTATGGACGGGAGCTTAGATTCAGGGTCCATAATTGTTTCGTCTCACTGATAAAGAATGTTGATTATTACACTCCGAATTAGTTAAAACCTCGAGCTACAGAAAGAGTTCTTCAGAATTGGTTTGGCAACCGCTGTGTCCAGTGCTTGAATTGGAATGAAAAAGGTGCCAGTACTCTAAAATCAGCTACTTTTTCAAGTCAATTTTATATATACAGCCCACAAACAAGAATTTGGCTACTATAATGCTGGTGGGTTTGTCTCTTTACTACTGTATATTTTAGAAAGGTTCACTGTACTTAACATTTTTTATGATAGGCAGCGGATATGGCTAAAGCTCAGTAAGGTCAATATTAACTGAAAATATAGCAATCAAAGTCTAGATCTTCTGCTGAAGACACATGAAGCAGAGACCTTTCAAGTGAGAGCCCCTCTGGTGGTGTTCAACATTAATGACAAGGAAACAAAGCTCTGGTCAGAAGCATTTTTTATAAAAAGCTTTAACAAAATTAAGTATTTCTGTACATTTTGAATGCAATCTAACTTTCCAACTCAGAAAAGGAAAAAGTGCCAAAAGTCTTCTCACATGGCTGAGCTGCTTTGCAATATACTTCACCACTGAAGAATACAAATATGTATAAAGTAAACTATGATGCAATCTAACTTTCCAACTCAGAAAAATGATAAAGAGCATGAACAAAGAACATGTAAAAACAAATGCAAAATTTGCACAATCTAAAATGAGAAACTGTAACTGCAAGTAACAAAGTCTGAGCCATGGTAAAGAGTTACATTGAACACCAAGCTGATCAGATAACTCCCTGGTTGGTCTGAAGTCCTTCTATCTCCAGGATCTGTACAAATCGGCACATTATGCCAAAAGTCTTCTCACTGGGTGAGCTGCTTTGCAATATACTTCACATTGTTAGAAAAGGCTCCAGAAGGCCTTGGGGACATCAGTATCAGGGGCTGGAGCTGGACAGGCTCTTTCATCAGCACTTCTCCTTCCCTTTGCCAGCCAGGACCTCACATACTGTTCCGGATTGAACTGTCCTAGTGATGGTCCATTACATTTAATGAAAACCAGGCTGGACAGTCGGCTGACAGAGAGAGCATTCCTTTTTGCAGTAAGGATATCGTTCATGCAGCTGAATGCCCGCTCACACTCACTAGTGGAGACAGCGATGGTTCGGACTGCTTTCAGTAGAGGCTCCATGGCAGCAGGTGTACGGGATGCCCTGGTTTCCTTGTATTCGCGAAAGCCCTGAACAGTCTCTCTTCTGTCCACTTTCAGCACTTCGCACAAACGTAGCACCTCTACGTCCCCATACTGTACGTCTAACTCCTCTTCAGGCCAACTTCCAGGATGGATAACTTTCATGTCCTGGATTAGCTGATTGTCCCGGGCCTCCCGGCCATGTAATGGGATTTCTCTTGTGCTGACATGAGAGGAGGTTGTGGAAGTCATTCTGTGTCCTCAGATTCTCTACCATACTGCGGAAAAACTGACCTGCATGAATCTGTACAAGCCTGCCATTCTCACGCAGGGCAACACCCTTGAAGGACTTCTCAGCTAGAGCTGTATGAACTGTAGTCATGTGTGGGCCAGGCATGGTGACCATGGATTCAAAAACTCGTATTTCTCGAGTTAAGAGCCTATCTGCTGTAGGCAGTGTCATCTCTCTTTTTTGGAGTTGCCGAGAAAGGTCGCTGAGCTCTGTGAGCGCATCGTACATCAGTCTCAGATTGCTGACAAACGTTGCAGATGTGAGCACATCATCCAGGCCCTTGTACTTTGCTCTGTCTCTGGAATCCCTGCTCGTGTCGTTTGCAGCATTTGTGAAGTGATCATGAAGCACTCGGTAGTTTTCCCAGACTGCTCTGATGCTCCTTTCACTTGAAGCCACCCAGCGGATGGACAAAACACGCCCTATCACCAGGAGACGCTGTCCGACTGCTTGCGCACACTGCGCTAACTGCCTCTGATTTTTGGGGGAGGCATGGAACAAGGAATAGAGTTTGTCAAAAAAGATCTGGAAATGATTGAGCCCTGAGACCTCCTTGACCACATCCCCAACTGCCAGCTCTAGACGATGATTGGAGCAGTGCCACACAAACAGGCTTGGGAATTTACTACACAACTGGGTAGCAACGCCTGTTCTCTTCCCTAGCATGACTGAAGCCCCATCACATGCAAAAGAAACGAAACACTGACCTAAAAAGTCCTCGTTAAAATCTCTTCCAAGACACTCCATTAACGCCTTTGTGATGTCATCAGCCGTTGTTCCATCCAACTCGATCAGCTCCCAAAAAAACGTTTCGGGCTCAGCATCAGCTAATGCTGAGCGTAGACACACAACAAGCACCGTTTTTACCACTAATAGTGGTAGATTCATCGACCAAAACACAGAGTTTTCTTTGGTTTTCTGTAATGTCTTTTGCCATTTTTTTCTTCAGCTCATGAGCTATGTGGTCGATGATTTCGCCACAGGTTTTATTGGAGTGCAAAACCCTGCCCACGTTCAGCCCATTCAGTTTCTGTACATTCAAATCAATTGGCATGTCTGTGAATGGCCGGCTATGTTTGCCAATTTTATATGCCGTTCGAAAAACTCTGATAGTGGTGTCTAATTCAGATTTATGCATAGACTGCACTTGATGTTGAATAGTTTCACGTGAAGCAGATGTAAGGATGTCAGCAGCTTTTACATGGGCTTGTGATTCTTTATGTTCTTTTTTCCTCCTTATCTTTCTTACAGTGCAGACGCTTTTCTGCTTGCTCTTGCCTCTGCTTACTTTTTATGCTGATTTTCCTATTCTTATTCTCTGAAAACTTCGAGCAGCGGCTCCTGGACATTAACTTATCACTGGGACAGTTCATCTTCGTAAATAGACGGAGGGTTTCAGCCATATTTCAAAATTTTTACGACGACGTCAGTCTTACAATAGCGTGGCCTAGCAACAGCTAAAGCCTGGTAGGCTACTGCTATTTAGCTTAAGCTAGTTGGTAGCAAAATGCCTCCGTTCTCTACAGATGACTTCCAGAAACTTATACAGAGATGGCTGTGTTGGAAATGAAAATGCAACGGTTGGAAGTTAACGTGGAATTGAATGGACTATGTCGTGGGAATGACACGACTTTACCAGTGTTGCAAAGTAATGGAGAAGGGTATGCTAACTCACAGCTAGTTAGCAGCTACAAGGATTCCAAGGAACAGGAGGGCTGTGTACCGGGTAATAAATCTACAAGTGATAGTCCTCCCTGGAACTCTCTGGGTGCAAAGCCTAAGAGTAAATCACTTCCATGGGATTTGGGAGGACGGATAACAGGCAGAGCCCAGAGCTCCGAAATCTGTGATGCGACCGGCTGGCCTGCATTGTTATCACCCAGGAAGAGCGCCTCTTCAACCCCTATTCATACTAGGAAACAGCAGTGGACAGCTGCTAAAGGGAGAATTACAAACAATCCTCCTAAACCACCAAGTGTGCCAATCCAGAACAGATACGCTCCGCTGACCGAGAACCGGAGATCTGATGACCTGGATAACCTGTCCTCTTCACGCAGCAGGGTAAGGACCAATAGCTACTCTAAAAGTAAAAGGCTAGAGGGAAAGCTAACGACTGGGCCTGAAACTCTGATTGTGGGTGACTCTGCTGTAAGAGATGTAAAAGGTCTGTGTAATAAGAACAACACCAAAGTACTCTGTTTTCCCAAGGATGTGGTCTCTGACTTGGCTGAGAAGATCCTGCATATTGGGGCTGAACATCCGATTGTGAAGAATGTGGTACTGCACATTGGAACAAATGATGTTATGAAACAACAGTCAGAAGTGCTGAAAGAAGACTTTAAATGTTTGTTGGAAACTGCCAGCTCTCTAAATGCAGAGGTGTTCATCAGTGGCCCTCTACCGCCAGTCAGAAGAGGAGTGGAGAGATTCAGCAGATTGTTTGCACTGAACACCTGGCTTTCAACGGCCTGTACTGACCATTCTGTTCATTTTATTGACAATTTTAACTTTTTCTGGGATCGCAGACATCTTTTCAAGGCAAATGGAGTTTGCCTGAACAAGTCAGGAGTGAAATTGTTTATCTCTAACATATTCAACTGCCTGCGTCATCAATCTGTTCCCTCTGCCAAGGACAAGCGGCAAGAGGAATCAAAACACGAGAAAGACACAACACATCACGCAGAAAACCCTGAAGAATTATCACTGCACCCGCCTGAGGAATGTTCTGATTATGGGAGACATATGAGACACATGGAGGAGTCTCCACTGCCCCCCCCCCCTGTCAACGCCTTTGAGGATACTCCGTTCACCCTTTCACCCTCGCCCACCCTCCTGGAGATCGATGAACACACAAAGGAGATACAGAGGGTTGGCACCGATTCCTTCCTGGAGTTCAAAGACCAAACGAAGGCGATACGCAGGGCTGGCACCATGTCCTTTACCCCCGCTCCTCAACGACGCCCACCAAATCACCGCGGAGACGCGCACCATCTCCCCCGTCCTCATCACCGCGCCTACGTCAACCACCTCCCCCCCCTGGCAGCATGTCCTCTACCCCCGCACCATCTAGCCCGTCTCCATCACCGTGCCTACGTCGACCACCTCCCCTCCCTTCGAGGGGGCTTCTGCAGTCTCCGAAGCCTGATAAGGATGTGTGTGTACAAAACACAACAAACTCTTACTGATATGTGATGGGTCCAGGCTCAAGGGCGTATGGCACTCTCAACTCTTTCC